AAACATGAGATTCGATATTAAAAGCTGTTCAAACTCAGAAATGTAACTTTTCTTTTAAATAAAAGTTTGTCAATTAAACAAGGCCACATTTTTTATGTTGCCATGTGAGTTATTTTGTGCTGGTTTTATTACAGACAATTAAACAGAATCTTGTTGCAGGACTTTGATGTCGACATCTTGGCTGTGATCAACGACACAGTTGGAACCATGATGACCTGTGGTTATGACGACCATCACTGTGAAGTTGGCCTTATAGTTGGTAAGTCCATTCTAACAGTGAGTAGAAATCAATAGAAAACAATGTTTAGTGAAGCATCTAAATCATAATGTTGGAAATATGTGAGAGAACACCAGGCAAGCAGCTCCTAAAGGACACATTTATTATTATTTCCACCCAGCATTCTTTATTCATGCTGTGTTGTGGTGGTATTGAGTTTAAAATATCAATATGTATCAACAATAAAACTTTTCTGCCAGAATTCAGGGATTCTGAACAAAGAAAACAAAAATAGGCCACATGTTATACGCATGTTTTCAGCTTGGCCATGAGAAGAAATTTTTCTGTTTCGCATTTCTTCAAGCTTATATTTAATTTACTATTTGATCACAAACAAAGAGGATGTGCCACAAAAAGAAATTTCTTTGTTCATGTAAATTTAAGCACAAAGATGGAAAAGTGGACACGCGTTTTGGAAGTGGACGTTTTCTATAGCTTTGTTTTGTTAGGAAATATAGAAATTCAATTTTGATTCCTGTAAACCAGGGGTGTCAAACTCAAACTCACACAGGGCCGAAATGAAACTCTGGGACGGGGTCGAGGGCCGAACTTAATATTTTTTGAAAAAGTGACGGCAAATTTGCACGTTTTCTTTATCAACATATATGCAATTTTGAACCTTTAAATTTGGAAACAAACTTATTTCTGCATTAACACTGAATGTGGAATAACCAAATTACACACGAGCAAGTCCGTTTTAAATAAAACACATCAGTGGTATTCATTACTTGTGGTATATTCAGCATTTATAAAATCTATTCAGGATTTATGTTTTCTTGTTGTTTATTCATTTTTCTTATTTTTTATTCTCCTTTTTTTCTCCTGTAATAAGTGTCATCGCTGCTGTGACATCTAGCTTTCTCCACTGAGGAACAATAAAGGGATTTTCTCTTCTATTCATCTATCTGCAGCCTTTCCACTTCCTGTTTACTGTAGGTTAAATCTTTTCTCACGGGCCAACAACAAAATAAAAATATCATTTTATCTTAAATGAAAATGCAACATCTCACCTGTTAACTTTCATGTTTTGGAGCAGAAAAAGAGCATAAAACCAACATATTTAAAGCTCAGTTTGCTCCACTGGTTTACTGTGATGCTCACCTGTTCCAGCCAGATACCTGCATCATGGGGTTGATCTGAGCTGAGGAGGAGACTCCTGTTGTTTTGTTCATCTTCATCATAATAATGACAACATTAGATGACAACAGGTGCTCACATAGGTTTGTGCTGCTGAACAAGTCTGAGCAGCTTGACCACGTTGTTGTGTGTCGGGGAGGAAACACGACGACAGCAACCACAGAGCCGTGCTGGTTTGAGCGTGTCGCTGCTCGCTGGAGTTATATCAGCTCTGTCTGGACGTTAGTTGGAAAACTTTCTCTTTCAGTCGTGAACACATTACTGAGCGGCTAGAATCTCCGTTTCTGGAAGTCAACGTCAGAAAACAGCTGAGTAAACTCGGCGCTGAGTGAGAGGAGTGTAGTTTGTCCGAGACAGCGGAGCTGCAGACACCGGCAGCAGACTCTGGAAAAAACACAAAGGAGGGGGCACGTCGGCTATGCGCTAACGCAGCATCATGGGAGTTGAAGTCTTTGCGGTAAAATCGGCTTGCGGGCCAGTTTTAATATATTTTTGATATTTATTTCGCGGGCCACATAAAAATGCTCCGCGGGCCAGATGCGGCCCGCGGGTCTTGTGTCTGACATATGTGCTCTAAACATTTACTGACAATATATTACAATAAAACATGTTTATGTTTTTCAAACAACAAAATAAAAATAAATTGTGTTAGATCAATAATCTAGGTCCCTTTATGAGACACACAAAATACATTTCCTTTTGTATTCATTTGTTTATATATGTAATGGAGACCAGGGGTTCCATTCATTATGATTTATGTTCTGTTATTTCTGATTGAGTTACAGACAAAAGGTTTTGTTATTGAAGTTATTTATTTTGTGTTGGACATTTGTAACAGATTCTTTAGAAGCAGAGGGACTGGCCACCCTTCATGTGTAAAGAGGAAATGTTTGTCAAATGTCAATTTGTGTTTAAGTTGATCTCCAAAGTTTCACCCACCTTTCTGGTAGTGTCTCCTCAGCAGGGCGGGGCAGCAAAGGGAACTTTGTGTCCCAGGTGCTGCTTTTAAGCTGCTGGAGCATACCACTTAAATAAGGAGGGGTGATTCTTGGAGGAGTTATGTGAAACCTAGTTTCTTTTGTTTGAACTTGGATTTATTTAGTATGATTTGTATTTATGTAAATAATGTTTGGTGCCATTTATTATTTTGGTGGTTGGGTTCTGTAAATATTATTTAGTTATTATTTCTTTGATTACCCCTCTTCTTGGTTTCTTCCAATCAGTCACTTAGTTATAAAAGGCAGTGAGTGTTGGTGTTAGGTGGATGTTGGTGTAGTGGAATATAGTTGTATATTCTTACACTTTTATTAGGTCCAGATATTATAATCAGAAGAGGTTGTTTTTACTTCAGGGAGTTTTATTTAAACACTTTGTATTGACTTAGAGACAAGAAAAGAGAGTTGGGATCATTTAAGAATCTTTAATTTCTATAATTATAAATTCAAACAATGTCCCAGGACTAACTCTCTATGATGGATGCATATGGATTTGAATGTTGAAGTGTTGGTGTGTGTGTGTGTGTGTGTTCAGAATCTCCAGGCTGAGGCAGGCGGATCTGGGTGTCTGATGTTTTGACTAGGAACCACGAGGGCTTCAGAAGCTCATGACATGAAACGCCATCTTGCTGAGTCTACGTACCGTGTAGGAACTCCCGTGGTCAGATCGGGAATGTCAGGTCTCCGGACCTCCGTGGTACTAGACTGATGAAACAGTGTGGCAGCACGACAAAAACCCGTCTACGGATAGCTCCAGGTAGTAGTGGCAGGTCTCAGCGCGTTCAGCTTTTATTTTGAAGGAACCGTCGTCTTGTTGTTCAAACAACAGAATTTCCAGCTTGACAGTTCTCAGCTTAAGTAGAAAAATACAGCTGGCCGGTCTGTAATTCCCTTAGAGATGATGATTTGAGAGCTGGTCGAAACTACGTTGAGTCTATGATGTAACTCCGTTGGAGCTGAGATGGAACTGACTTTAAAATGGCGTTGCTCTGTTTAATTAACTTAGTTGTTTATAAATCTTAGCAAATCGGAGTGGACAAATTGATAAACACTCCAGATTCTGCCCTGCAACAGACGGAAGCTCTGATTGGATGAGAACAATGTGTCATGGTGTTTACCTTCTGTGGATCAGTATGTCTGGCTGGCTGAGTTAGTCCTGTTATTCAATAAACACATAAATCATGACATTTTGATTTCACAGATCATTCACCTGATTATTATTGATCAACATTTGTTTTGATTAGCTTTATTACAAATAAAGTTCTTTGATTAATTTATGAAAAGCGTTCTTCTTCCTTCTTCTGTCTCCTTTCCTGGAATGTAAACATTTAGAAACAAGCACCCGACCTTGTTCATTCATACACACTGTTACTGTGTGAAGGGGCAGCTGTTAAGGGCAGACAATAGGATCTTAATAACGCTACATTGGTGTTGGTGACAAAACATGTTGCAATAAAGCCACCTCAACTTGATTTATTTGTTTGCCTCTCCTTCAAACCACGTGCCGCCGCCGGTCAAAACTGACAATATAGATTTGACAAAAAATTAAATATTTGTGTGGCTGGATCATTGACTAGTAGTGTGAATGTGCCTCCCCCACTGGGGATGGAGAAGACAGAACACACACACACACACACACACACACACACACACACACACACACACACACACACACACACACACACACACACACACACACACACACACACACACACACAGAACACACACACACACACAGACACACACACAGGCACACACACAGACACAGGCACACACACACACACACACACACACACACACACACACACACACACACACACACACACACACACACACACACACACACACACACACACCATTTATACCAAGGGATGGGTACCTTTGACATTTGAATCAATATGGTAATAATAATAATGCATTGAACTTATATAGCGCTTTTCAAGACACCCAAAGACGCTTTCACACACTCTCACATTCACACACTGCTAGTGATGGTAAGCATAGCCACAGCCACCCTGGGGAGGTCTGACAGGCGAGGCTGCCATTTGGCGCCGTCGGCCCCTCTGACCACCACTAACACAGGCAAGTTGGGTGAAGTGTCTTGCCCAAGGACACAACAGCAGGATACCCCTGGCGGGAGCTGGAATCGAACCCATGACCCCTCCGATCATGAGGCAACCCGCTCTACCACCTGAGCTACTGCTGCCCCGATACCAATTCCCGGTACCTATGAATCGATACCGGTACTTAACGGTTCCAATTTTCAATACTTTTGAGTGTTTAATAATTATTTTAATCACTTTTTGATTAAATGTATATTCCCAATATATAACCATATTTGATGAGTATCATGATAAGTAACATACAACTGTTTGCATTTTATCAGCGTAGCGTTGTACAAAATTCTTCAATATGAAAACCTTTAACAACAACTGTTTTTAAATGACGCAAAAACAAACCAAGCTCCATTTTATTACTTGTTCCCGTGTGTTGATTTTTATGCTCTTTTACTGTGCAGCACTTTGGTTGGCCTCGGCCGCGTAGAAATGTGCTTCATAAATAAAATGGTGTGTGATAGTGGGTCCTTGTAGTTTTATAAACTGCAAATTACATTGAAGCAATCATCTTTGCTGTGAACTAAATTTACTGTGTATCTTCATTCCTTTTGCCGTTCATTTTCAAACTGTTTATTTTTCCCCCTCGGAAGTTGGAATTTTTGAGGAGAAAGTGAACGCACCATTAGCTATGTAAACAAAAACTAAACTATAAAGCCAACATGATCTTTGCTACTGGAGCAGATTAAGATGCCTCAAACTCGGATAGTTGTCGCTGGTTTCGTCATCGCCCAACAGCCCATCGCATTTAGTGAAGTGAAGCCAAACTTTAGAGCATATTTACTTTCTTCTAGTTTGAATTTCGGAGTTCCGAGGAGAAAGCGAACGCACCATTAGCTGAACGGAAGCTAACATAGCAAGCTAATGTTATTTAAAATATTTTATTTACCTACCAGAGCAGATTAAGATGATGAAGTCTCACTTAGATTGTTGTTGCTGGCTTCATCATCACTTAGTGACCCATCCCATTTAGTGAAAAGGACCTAAAGTTCAGAACTCTTCCTCTCTGCCATGCTGCTTGCTCCGTTTACAGATTGCCCACAGTGACTGACAACGTTATGTTCTTGCGCCGGCGTGCAGCACGAGTACAGAAACAAGGCACCATTTCATATGATGTCATCGGTACTATGGAATTTGGTCGGTGCCTTGAAAAGTACTGAATTTGGTACCCATCCTTAATACCAAGTTATGTTTCTATGGCTACATTATGATTTCTTAGTAAATATTCTATTTAGTATGAGATAAACTTTATTATCTTTATCTTAGTGAATCTAAAATTCATTAAACGTGAACTAGTAGTAGCATATTCCATGTCAAAGAAAGTAAAATTTTATCAGGAGCGGGAGAATGTAGTTTGTTGTTGATTGGATGAGCATTTAACATTTAAGCCTTAAGCCTTTTGCCATGCACCTAAAACTACTTCCTGCTTTATTTTACTTATTTTGTTTATTTAACCTTCATTTAACCAGATGAGTCGACTGAGAACTCATTCTCTTTTACAACGACGATGTGGCCAAGAGGCAGCAGCAATAAAACACAGTTAGCTTTACACTAAAGAAAAATGGATACGACAAAAACATACATGATAAAAATAAAACAATTAGACATGAAGACAAATGGCTGTTCTCATTTACAACAAGCAATCGAAACAGACTTAAAACAATCGTTAAGTACTCAGAAGTATGAGGTAATGTCAGACATTTTGGTAAACTGAACCTCATCTCCCACTGCTCTCACTACAAGCTAATTCTTAACATTGGAAGAACATTTAAGATTTTCCTCAGCTGCTGTGTTGCTGACCCTTGACTCATGAAGTCAGCTTGACCCTTGATAAAGAGACATAACAAAGTCAAAACCAGTGTAATCAGCTATGATTACTTTATAAAATGATCAACTCATCACTGTTAAAATTCCACCATTTCTACCTGAGTGTTCTTCTACCTCGAAGCAGAGATTAAAAAAACCCCAAATGATTTCTGCTCATCTGCACAGGCAGTCCATCCTGCTCACATCAGGCTCTGTGTGCAGCTCACTTAGCCAGTGTGATGCCACCATAGAGAGCATTTACACTGTGGGGGTTCACACGGCATTTAGAGTTTGTAAGTGAAAAGTACAAAAATAACATGATGATGAAATGCACGTTTTGATTAGGTGATAAGTGTCTGTCAACACCAAAGAGCTCCGCTTCAGAGCTGATCAAACACCTGCACAACTCCACACCACCACTGGTGTGAAAGCAGCTCCCACGGGCAGCTCTCAAATCAGCTGAAGCCCCCACTCAGAGGGAAACCAGTTAACATGTTGTTGGTTCTTCAATGGATAAGAGGCCACTATTAGAGCCAGAATCCTCCAGCCCCCCTGGCCTTATCTGGTGTCTGTTAGAAAATACTTTAGTTAGTAAGGCATTCGATTTTTGGGATCATCTACTAAGCACTATTTGTTGGCATCGAGAGATTTTATCTGTAAAGAATAGGAATGTTGCCAACAAGTTTGGAAAAGTACCTTTTCTCTGTGTAACTTGTCCATTTAAGTAGATGATCCTTCAGTCTGAATATTTCCTTTTAAAAGTTGCTAGCAATGTGACCTGACAGTTAAAGTGGTCTGAGGTGCTGTAATTTAATGGTTCTTACAAGCTTGGATGCATTTGTTCCTAAAAACAGAACCAATTGGACATCACACAGAGTAAAAATTGATGCTTGGATATGACTTTAGCTCAGCAGGGAGGTTTCAGACTGCAGTAATCTTTTTAAAAAATCCTCATCTTTTTGGTTGATCTGTAATTTTCATGGTGACCTCACTTCCCTTCAGGGACGGGGACCAATGCTTGCTACATGGAGCAGATGAGGAACCTTGACGTGCTGGATGGTGACGAGGGGCGGATGTGTGTAAATACGGAGTGGGGAGCTTTTGGAGATGATGGTGCCCTGGAGGACCTCCGCACCAACATAGACCGGGAGATAGACGCAGGCTCTCTGAACCCTGGCAAGCAGCTGTGAGTGACCTAAGTTCACCGTCGTTGCTCAGTCCCCTCACTCAACTCACAAACTTAACCCTCTGGGGTCCAGGGTGTAATTTGCCATTTTTGACAAATTTAGATTTGTCCCGGAGCGCTCCATCCTGCAACACTCCTCCGTGAGAGCGGGGGTGGGGTGATTGCACACGTTCCGCTGCGTTTTCTCACCAGAGCTGCAGAAAGAGAGAGTTGCGACACTCCAATAGACTTTCATGGAAAGAATGGAATGCGAAAGTCACGTGGTTCATGTAGCTTCGATTAGTTCCAAACAGCCCCTGCTGCTGCATTGACCGCAGTTCATTTTCGGTGTTTCGGAAGGATTTTCCCAGGTAAGTTTATGAAATGTCATCATTTTTTTGCATTGTAAAGCGTTAGCTAACCGCTTTGTACCAAAATAAGCCAACGATATTTTATGCTGCCAGTTTTAGCTAGATAACCTTTAATGAGCTAATTATGTGCAGCTTGTTGATTGTGAGCAGGAGGGGTTTAGACAAGCTTGACTAGCTGTAGACGGGTTTATTTCAGTTTGTTTGATTCTACGTTTTAAAAATATTCCCCACAGTTTGAAATAGATTATAAACTTTTTACATTATTAGTTTTATTTATTTATTTATTTATTTTGTACAATACATTGCTGGTTGCTGTATCAACACGAACATGCATCAGAAATGGAAGCACAAATGAAGAGACCAATAATAAAGAAAATGTGATTGTGAAGACAAGTAATTATTTAATATTTTTCAGTTAATTTTTCCGGATAACACTGACTGCAACGACCTGCTGAAGCATGAGACAAACAGGAATGCGAACGTAAGAAGATATGTTGTTCTGTTTTGTGGACTCAAGTAATAAGAATAAAATTACGATATTTCAAGAACAGTAGTCGAACACAATAACTTTTAAAAATTAGACATTTTCCATAAAATTGCTCATTTCCACTTGCATTTGCAATTTTGTTATTAAGTAAGGAATGACAAGAAATAAGAATTAACAATAACATAACTATCAATAAATAAATGTCAAAGAGTAACAAAAACAAAAATCTTATGTAACCATTAAAGGTTAAACTGTGTTGTGTGTCCATGTTCATGTTTTCATAGTGGTTGAGCGGAGAGCTGACCAGGAACAACGGTGGTGGCAAATCCCAGTTGGGTCTGTGATGGAGTGATGCACACCTGGAGTGATTGCCATCTCATCCACAGTAAGCACACACTCTCTTTCCATCTCTGTCAGAATTTTAACCTTCAAACTGAGCATGTCACACACCTCTCCTAACACACCTGGTTCCAGCTTAATGGGCTGCATTTGTCTTTGCAGGGTTCTAACATCAGGCAGAGGGATACTCATGTCCTAAAGAAACCTGTAGACTGTTGAACCCACTGAAAAACTGAGTTGTACGACCTTTTTGGTTGTCTGTTTACTACATTTAATGCCTCTTGTGTTTTTCATGCCTTTTTGACTTTCTATTTCCTCCCTTAGGTTTTCCAGCTGGGTTCCCTGGTTGCATAGCGTGTTCCTTTCTCCTCCTGGCCCTGACGCCGGCTCCTCATGGCTTCCTCGGATGTCCCTCTCTCCTGATACCATCTCATGTCCCCCCTCACTTTCCCTCATCTCATTTGCCTCACTGCTGCTGCTGCTTTCCTGATTCTCTGAAATTATAATGACACTGATAGAATAAAGAATAACTTTTAAATAAAATAAATACAAATGTCTAATACAGGGTTACAATCCTGGTCCTGGAGGGCCGGTATCCAGCAGGTTTTGTGGTTTTTCTGCTCCAACAGACATGATTCAGTGGTTGAAACATCTGTGCAGCAGCTCATCAGGCTCTGCAGAAGCCTGTTAATTAGCTGCTGATTAAAATCAGGTTTGTTGAAACAGAGTTCAAACTAAAACATGCAGGATATCGGCCCTCCAGGACCAGGATTGGGCACCCCTGGTCTAATATTTCAAAAGATTCGTACCACAGTTTACTTAAGTACAGTATGTGTGGTCACTGGTCAGTGGATCAACATGCAGTGGTTCTGCTGTACTTCTCACTGCGGGGTCCTTCCTCCTTGGTTCAGGGCGATGAACGAACAGGGTTGGAACAGCATCAGCCCTGAGTCTCACCTTGAATTGCCTAGTCTTAGTAAACTGTCCCTCACCAAAATGTGCCTGTAGAGTTGTGTATTAGTTTATTTCCTGCCACATTTAACATTTTTATTGCAGCCTTGTGCTGTTGAGAGCGAAACACGTAGAGCTTTGATAGAACACATTTGAGAGTGCACATTATACTCACTGCACACAGCTTTTTGTTATTGTGATCTCTGGTCATGGTGAGGTTGCTCCTGCTGACTTGAGCCAACCAATTTCTTCTTCTCTCTGCGTCTTTGAGGAAGCCATACATTCTGATTCCTCCCTCAGACCGATTGCTACATCCATATGCAGCACATCCAACATGATAATCAAACCTATAAAGGTATTTTTAAAATACTATTTTTGTACATATAGAAATATTGAACTAAACCAAAAATATAGAGATGTAAAACTACATTTTAAAATTTTATCCAACGCTAAAATTTGTAATTTCAAATTTTAACCCACTGACAGTTTTTTTTAAGAATGTTCAAAATAAAGTGGTGGGCATACTAGTTGCCCCCCATCTTGGCGCCTGTATGTTGGGGTTTACCCCAGTGAATGAGAGGGTAGCCCCCCTCCGCCTACGTGTGGGGACAGGTTCTGACTGTGGTCTGTGCTTATGCACCAAACTACAGTTCAGACTACCCATCCTTTTTGGAGACCTTCAAGGAGGTGCTGGAAAGCGCTCCTTCCGTTGACTCCCTCCTTCTGCTGGGGGACTTTAACACTCATGTGGGCAACGACAGTGAGACCTGGAGAGGTGTGGTTGGGAGGAACAGCGCCCCTGATCTGAATTTGAGTGGTGTTTTGTTATTGCACTTATGTGCCAGCCATGGATTGTCCATAATGAACACCATGTTCAGACATAAAGGTGTCCATATGTGCTCTTGCCACCAGGATACCTTAGGCCGCAGCTCGATGATCAACTTTGTTGTTGTTTCTTCTGACCTGCGGCCGCATGTCTTGGACACTCTTGGTGAAGACTGACCTGGTGGTGAGTTGGCTCAGATGGTGGGAGAGGATGCCGGTCAGACCAGGCAGGCCCAAACGTATCGCGAGGGTCTGCTGGGAACGTCTGGCAGAGTCTCCTGTCAGAAGGAGCTTCAATTCCCACCTCCAACAGAACTTCCAAAGTGTTCTGGGGGAGGTGGGGGACATTGAGTCTGAATGGACCCTGTTCCGTGCCTCCACTGTTGAGGCGGCCGACCGAAGCTGTGGTCGCAGGATCGTCGGTGCCTGTCGTGGTGGCAACCCCCAAAACCGCTGGTGGATACCGGCGGTTAGGGATGCTGTCAAGCTGAAGAAAGAGTCCTATCAGGACTTTTTGGCCTGTGGGACTCCAGAGGCCGCTGACGGGTACTGGCAGTCTAAGCGGAACGCGGCTCGGGTGGTCTCCAAGGCTAAAACCTGGGCATGGGAGGAGTTCTGTGAGACCATGGAGCAAGACTTCCGTACAGCTTCTAGGAGATTCTGGTCCACCATCCGGCGCCTCTGGGGGAAAGCAGGGGGCTACCAACACTATCTATAGTTGGGATGGTGTGCTGTTGACCTCTACTCAGGACCTTGTGGATCGGTGGGCAGAATACTTCGAAGACCTCCTCAATCCCACCGACACGTCTTCCAGTGAGGAAGCAGAGTCTGGGGACTTTGGGTTGGCCTCTCAAATCTCTGGTGCTGAGGTCACTTAGGTGGTTAAAAAGTTCCTTTGTGGCAATGCTCCGGGGGTGGATGAGATCCGCCTGGAGTTCCTTAAGGCTCTGGATATTGTGGGGCTGTGTTGGCTGATGCGGCTCTGCAATATCGCTTGGACATCGGGGACAGTCCCACTGGACTGGTAGACCGGGGTGGTGGTCCCCTTATTTAAAAAAGGGGGCCACAGGGTGTGTTCCAACTACAGGGCGATCACACTCCTGAGCCTTCCTGGTAAGGTCTATTCAGGGGTTCTGGAGAGGAGGGTCCGTTGGATTGTTGAACCTCAGATTCAGGAGGAGCAATATGGTTTTTGTCCTGGCCGTGGAACACTGGACCAGCTCTATACCCTTAGGGGGATCCTGCAGGGTGCATGGGAATTTGCCCAACCAGTCTAATTGTGTTTTGTGGATTTGGAGAAGGCATTTGACTGCATCCCTCGGGGCGCCCTGCGGGGTACTCCGGGAGTATGGGGTACCAGGCCCTCTGATATGGGCTGTTAGGTCCCTGTATGTCCGGTGTCAGAGCTTGGTCCGCATTGCCGGCAGTAAGTCGGACTCATTCCCAGTGAGAGTTGGACTCCGCCAAGGCTGCCCTTTGTTACCGATTCTGTTCATAACCTTTATGGACAGGATTTCTAGGCGCAACCAAGGTGTGGAGGGCATCTGTTTTGGTGGCCTGAGCATCAGGTCTCTGCTTTTTGCAGATGATGTGGTCCTGTTGGCTTCATCAGAACATGATCTTCAGCTTTTGCTGGAGCAGTTCGCAGCCAAGTGTGAAGCAGTTGGGATGAGAATCAGCTCCTCTAAATCTGAGATCATGGTCTTGATTCAGAAAAGGTTAGAATGCCTTCTTCAAGTCAGGGATGAGATCCTGCCCCAAGTGGAGGAGTTTAAATATCTCGGGGTCTTGTTTACGAGTGAGGGAAAACTGGGGCGTGGGATCGATAGCCGGATTGGTGCTACATCTGCAGTGATGCAGGCGTTGTACCGGTCTGTCGTGGTGAAGAGTAAGTAAGTAAAAGTTTATTTATATAGCGCCTTTCACAGATATAAATCACAAAGCGCTGTACAACATGATAAAGATCAGGGCAAATACCTCTAACCAATAAAAAACATCAGAAAAACAATAGCAGTGATAAACGTTGAAAATAAAATCATGAGTATAAA